GCAGTAGGAGTAGGAGTAGTAGTAGTAGTAGTAGTAGTAGTAGTAGTAGTAGTAGCAGTATAGTAGTAGTAGTAGTAGTAGTAGTAGTAGTTGTTGTTGTTGTAGTAGTAGTAGTAGTAGTAGCAGTCGGCGTCGTCGCGGTCGCGGTAGTGGTGTAGTCTGCGAGTAGTGCTAATATCTGGCCGAGATTAGCCAGCGCAAATTCTGACCGATTTAGAACATCCTCGTCCACTGGTGTTCCGCGTCTCGCTCTGGCCATGCAGGTGGCATGCATGTTGGGTCTTCGCCGGTATAATTAGATAGTAGACGATACCTGCATTGTCATGTGCTTGGGCAATATAATACCAAGAAATTATTAGTGTTACGCGATACTTCCGAATTTGGCAGCAGATCTGAGCTGGTTGGGGAACGAGACCGAACTATGGTTTCCAGCAGACGTCCGTGCTGAGCATACGTTGCGCACCACCAGGTTCCACTTTTCGACAGCTATGTCGTCGCCAATGCGGTGCAGCGACGAGACTTCGGGGGACGAGACTTAACTGTTAGCAGCTCAGGTCGTCATGTTATGGAATGCAGAGCGTGAACTTCCTTCGTCGTCATGTTTGGGCGATAGGGAGGGGCGAGTGAGAGCACGTGCCTACGGCCGAGTTCACTCCGGGGTTATCTTGTAAGTTGACACTTGTGATTCCCACCAGGGCCTGCCAGGCAGAGGTTTGATCTTGCAGCCGCATGTGACCGTCGCGGTTGTTTTTGCACCGAGCTCTTGAGGCATACCTGGGGGAGCTCCTTCAAAGAGAGCTTGGATACAAGGAGGCGCTTGCTGATGAGGTGCGTGCTGCCATAGTGCTGGCAGACATAGTCAAGTTGCGACTGTCCAGCTTGAAAGCCTCCGTGCTCAGAGGTATGGTGGACGCAGCTGCAGACCGTGAAGGAGCGGATGTGAAAGACCTGCGGTCAGAGACTTGCTTGGTGCCTTTGCAGGAGCGGATGTGCCGAGTCGCGACGCAGCACGCGCCGTCCTCCCGGCAGGCCCGGCAGGCAGCACTCCCGGTCCGCCTGTCATTTGCTCTTAGTCACCTGTGCGAGGATCCCGTGCAGCAAGAGTACAAGCTGCCCGATGGCAAGGTCAGACTCTACAGTCGAAGTTGCATGTGCATGTAGGCCCTATAGGTTTAGTCCCGGGCCACATTTTAAAAACACGCAGGGGAGTTTCCATCATGGCTCCACCGAGCTGGTCGAATTTGATCACATGTCCAAACCGAAACCGCCATGGAGGGCAGCGAAGAAGACCCGGACATATGTCGAGGTGTGATCTCGGAAGCTCTAGTAGTGCACTCTGTGCTGTGGTTTTGCCTCCGGCCTCCTTTGAAGCTGCTATCGTCTGCCAAACACAGTCAGCTTCGTTTGTGCACTCCAAGTCGGCAGTGGGTCGGAGTCATCTTTACCTGCTGGCAAGTTATAGACCCAAATTAGGACAATGTGTGGAGATGGCCCACTTTTCGTGTCAGTACTATCTCCAGCGCTTGCTGAGAGCAGTCGATCGTGTGTAGGTTCTGGATTGGGAGCAAGGCCTTCTATCACAATGTGCTGAGGCGCCATATGACACTCTGCCTTGCGATAGAGCGACCAGACCGAAACTACAGGCACTTTTCCAACCTGGTCAGCACTTAAAGGTGGACGAGGACCTGTGAGGCTTGTCCATCCAAGCCCTTGCCGCCTACGCACGCAGGAGGCTGTGGGCATCCACAAAATGGCGGCCAGCAGCGTGCTTGGCTGTGGCGGAAGGCTCAGGGCATGCAGAGCTCAAGTAGAGCGTGCAAGGTCTAGAGAGTGGCAGAGCTGAGCATAGCCTAGGTCTTGACATCCAGAAAAGCTTGGCAAACAGTGTTGTGGGCACCTTGGTATCTGCTCTGCAGGAACTTCGAAGATTGAAGGGACAGAATGGCCGAGCATGGTCCTGGCCCGTCTGCACATGACATGAAGGGGCAGACCTTGCACTTAAACGGCCAAATCAATACATTCCATGGAGGCCTCTCCAAGTCCAGGCCAGCCAGCATGTCTAGTGACAGTCCCGTGCAGGCATCATCTTCTTTTTAGTGTCCTAGAAGTGGTTGCCGAGTGCACAACCGTACGCACGATGTCCCTATACCTGTTCGAGGTTCTCTCTGGAGGTTCGACGCTGTTCCCAGGGATGTGTCAGCGTGTTCAGGAGGACATCTAACTTTTACTCAGCCCTCTGGGAAGTTACTTGATTTCTGTTAGGAGCTGCAGCGCCTGCTCCCGTCAGCCGTGAAAGCCAAAGTCACCCGTGTGGCCCAGCCCATGTGCCTCGGCATCGGGAAAGAACCTCCTTGAGGCATTCCGGGTTCCTGATGTCTTGATGACCGCGCGGGCAAGGTACGCAGCTTTCATGGGAGGGTCTATCTTGGCGTCAATGCCAGACCTGCGGAAAACTTTTATGACCAGGAGTGAGCCGTGATCTTGGTTTGCAGTTTGCAGAAGTCAGCTCGGAGAGTTGGTGAGTTGGGCCATCAAAGGGATGCAATACAGTGCTTTGCACGACTTCGACTGAGGTACCTGGAGTACGGTGCTTCTTTCATCCAGAGCAAGAGTGTTAGCCTGACGAAGCCACACCCCATGCCTTAGCTGATTAGGCTGTTGCAGCGTCTAGGGGTGCTTTTCGGTGCAGTATAGTGTCGCGTAGTTGTTTAAGCAGACCGGGCCGGCCCAGACCCTTCTGGGTTTGCCGAAACTCCTTGGAGACGGGTCGATCCGGCTCTGCAAGTGGTGGCGTGTCTTGCTTCCTTGGGCAGCGAAGCTTCCGAGAAAGCTAGAGAGTCGAATTGCATCGCGAGCAGCTTGGGGCAAGGTTGCTGCGTGAACAAAGACATTTCCCCGCAAGAGAAATGCCTGTGTTCGATGACATCGGACCCGCATTTTCTTCGTGCCATGGCAGGCAGCAGCTTCTTTGGGACCCGCTGGGCCTTGTGGCCGAGGAACTTCAAGGGTCGCTTTCTGAGTCTCTTCAAGGAATCGCGCCCACGATGCAGGCACCAGCAAATTGCGCGCCGAAAGTGCGATTCCCAGATTTATTCACCTTCCCGCGTGAGATCTCGCGTGGGGGAGTGCTTCTTAGAACTTCGACATTGGACAAGACCTGGATCAGAGCTGGCGACAAGGCCGGGAACAGTTACAGCCAGAACCAGCAGCCGACTTCATAGATCCCCTTGCGCTCTCGCTCTCTCCATGGGTCTGTCAGCTCGACGGAGGTCTCTCTCAGCAGATAGCTGACAGAAGCCGTGGGCCGATGAGGACGGAAGGGCCTGTAGCTCATGGGCTCTCATGGGCTCATATGCACACGATCAGCTGGACATTGGGACAGCCACTGCGGCAACGCTGTGCCGGGATGGGGATGAATCAAAAAGGCGAACTTGGATCAATAGTTATCAATAGATAAATGAAGTTGGATCAACAAATCACGACAGCTCGCTCTTTGGAGCCTGCGAGAGTTGTCCTTTAACAAACCTTCTTCCTCTCTGGTGTTCAGGTGGGTCAACAAGCGACTCCGTAATTGGTATGAAAACAACTAGTTGACGGGCTGCGGGGGGCGTGGGGGAGCCACCCCCCCTCTCCTGTAAGATTGATTTCAGCAATTTTTAGGTGTGCCCCACTTCCCTGTCATGAAGGTATGCGGTTTGTGTTAACTGATTTAGTGGTAGGAGGGAGGGGGACCCCCCCCCCATGCAGGACCCCCTCCACCCCCTCCTCGGAGGTTTTCTCAGCTATTGTGATATCTGTCAAGAACTCGACATGACAGACGACGCTGAGTCTGATAAAGAACAACAAGCTGAATATGACTGTGATGAAAATGAGGATCAGGACGAAATCGCGGAACGACACGCAGCGATCCTACAAGAACATACCCATCACAGATCCGATTCTTACACAAGCGAGAGTGTCCATGCAAGTTCCATACTATACAAATGCTCCTCGCGCAAGATGCATTGACGCCAACGCTGTTTCAGTCACGTACAAGGCCTATATCGTGGTGCGCTGTATGCGCAAGTCGTGGCCTGCGAACACCCAGTGGACGAGCTTAAAGTACGAACACATGTATGCCATGTTCCAGAATGGGAATCGCTATGATGTCCTTGGACAATGGCATACTCTCAACGAGATCGACGAGGAAACGCAGAGTCGGGATGTCACTGACGAGCAGAATTTAGCTTACGCAAGCAGCCTCAATGATCATGAAGACCCTGATGGAATCAACTGTTTTGGAAGTTCAAAAGAGGTGCTCAGCAGATGGGTCACCCGACCTGTGTGCACTTGTGCTTGTATCAGGCCCCAGCAGTCCGTCCGTTTCAGGTATTGCAGATCTTCACAGCTTCACCTGCTGATAAGGCATGTGCCCTCCACCTCCACAACAGTGATGAATGTGCAGCCAAAATGGTCCGCCCATGCCTCACATCATGTGCACCACAGGTAAAGCTGAGGGTTTATGAGTTGAGATCAGGTATTGCAGACACTCATCGCCAAGTTGACAGGCCCCAAGACCATGTTCGCATAACTGAGGCCCCGCCTACGGGCGAGTACAATTTTCTGTGCATCGATCCCGTGCCAGTGATGATGATCAATGGATTGAACGTCACGACGGCCACGACCATCGAATTGCTCGTCAACTGTGACATCCAGATAGCGCGGTACACAAATTTCGTATGGATACTCGACTCAGTCATCATGCAATAGCTCTTCGAACATCAGTGCCTCCCGATACCTGGATCCTGGCCAAGTTGGCCTTCGTGATCAACCTATGACAGAAAAGGACTTGCTACAGTCAGACCGGCGGAGCTAAGAGGGCGACTACCGAACAGGGGAAACGCTAACAGATGATGGGGCGACAAAGGAAAAGGGAAAGGAAAGAGCAAAGATCCAGCAAATCGTGAACGTGACCGTTACCAACGCTCGTGCCGCGACAACACATCGTGATCCTCATTCCGAATCGCTTCAGTTTGTTCAGCCAACTTTCTGACACCGGCATCTTCGATGTAATCCTCATCAATTTGTCGTTTTCTTCGGTGATTTTTTGATCCTGCCATGTATTTTCGGGGGTTCGTTACTGCCGTAGTGAAGTGTCACAACATTTCTAATTGGGAACAAACGGCTCGTAACAACATTTCGCAATTTCCGGCGGGAAAGACACTTATTTCTTCAGTTCAATCGCGACTCTTTTCCTATGTGAGCACGGCCCAAGGACGAAGGTGCGAACGGACTTCGATGCTTCGTTCAATTCGTTGGTGTATCTTGGTGTCACAATAAGAGGTAGGAGAGTGAACTATGAGCAAAAGTACCACAGGCTTGCATAGCAGACCGTGCTGCCATCAATCCTTTGACACTTCTGCTTTGCTGCAGAGTGTGCATACTTTTTTGTGCTGCCTCAAACGCCACTTTGTGGTTCAAAAGACTGCCATAAGCCAAAAAGCTTACGACTCAGTTATAGGCGTCTGATCCAAGTGTTCGAGCCATTCCTGCTGCGCAGACCTGCCGCTGAGCATCGCCTGTGAAGACGAAGCTTCTGTCCGAGTGCTTGCAAGGGATAAGCTGAGAGTGAAGTCATCAACTATTACCTCAAGTATTGGTAGCCACGGTTTCTCGACGGGTCGTAATGTGTTTTTCCGCTTACTCGCAACGGCAAGTCGTGCCCGCAGCCGTTACGACTTAAGTGCCCGGTCCGCAGATCGGTGCGCCAGTTGGAAGTTGTAGGCCGTCGTAAAGGCTTGATGCCTGAAACCTCTGACTCCTCGTCCCCGCGCCGTCGCCGTAGGCGTCGAGGCCGCCGGCGAGGGAGATCCCGCTCGAGTCCATCCGCCCCTGCCCGTTCAAGGCCTGGCCGTTTGGACTTTCTTGTGTTTGGATTTGCTACTCTAACAGGAGACGCCGCAGCTCTTCTGACCGTCCGGCGAGACCCAGCAGCCCTTCCATTCGAAGGCCTGCCCCCGTCTT